CCCCACCACCCAGCTACTTGGTGGTAAAAGATCCATGCAAATCAGCTGGTAAGTACGCCTATAATATATACGTATACATACTATACGCATATATATGTATGAATATTTAACTTCAGGGACACGCGGTAGATGACTAGGTATGGCGAGTTAACCAGCGTCCAAGAGAGGGTGGTGGGGAGGCTCAAGAGGACTTCTGTCTAGTTTCAGCGGGGCGACTTGTTCCCTATGCCACTGAACAAAAAGGGTGGTGCATGATATTCAGCCCTTTTACTAGGGGATGTGCCAGCCAGGCAACCGGACCAGCCAGCCAAACCCCAGAGCAGAGAAGTCGGAGACAAAGAGAAGAGAACGAGTGGACGAATGGAACGGACGTAACGGAACCGTCCGAATTCACGGCTCATTGCAGCACAGCAATATGGGCGTTCTTTATTTTCTAGCGCCGGAATAACTTTTGCCGCTCGTATTTCTTTCCTTTTCCGTTCCCTCTCATTTTATTTCGCTGTCGCCCACCTTCTTCGGCCGTGTCGTTTTGTTTCTCGCGGCTCGTTTGTCTGCATTAGTGGGATGGTTCGATGCCGGTGATAAATAACGCGGCGAAGCAGCGGTACAAAAATTCTGTCGCTTCCGCGCGGGACTCGAGGGAAAGCTGAAATTTGGCGCATTGGACGCGTGCTGACGCGTGACCATCCGATACGTCAAAATGATATTGTCATTGTTGCCGTTGCGTATTTTTCATTGTGCGCGGGAAGAATGAAAAACGTCGTCAAGTCGACCGTAAGTGAACGAAGAAGAATCATTTTCAGATCCAAGACCCTATCTCAAGGACTTTACAAGTTATATCCCCCTTAGCCATGAGATTTCGAAATTCGAGACAAGGGTCAATCGATAAAAAGGGCAAAGTTCTAAGGTACCCGTAAGTCAAGGTAGGTCCTGGCGAAACGTAGGCTCCGGGAACGATAAGGAGCCACGCTTCTCAATTCGAGGAACAAAGACGTCGGTGACTGGAGGAAGGAGTTAAGCATTGCCAGAGGCGGCTTTATGGGAAGTGATTCAATTCCATTTAAAAGCACGGTTTGAAGGGTGCTTCCCATAGCATACTGTCGGTGTGCCTTATCTAGGGTGGTCGTGTTAAACCGTGGCTCGTGACTTCGCATACTAAACGAAGGGACTCCCTGTAGACGGTACAAGCGGAGCCAGCGTCACTTCTTAGTGGTGGGTATCTGACGCATCCGAGCTGTCAAATAAAATTTGGCCCGGCGAAAGTGAATGTGCGGTACGTTTCCGCTTGTCCTGCACGTGCAGCCAGTAATTTACGTGCGGTTATCGTTTCCGAACTTCGTAGCCAGGATAGTGGATTTCTTAGGATGCCTAAGAGGGTGAAACTTCCCCCTAAAGAGACACCTACAGAGAATCATATGAAATCAGGTACATACCTTGTCACGAAGCATATCCCGCACCCTGGTGGCCTGACTTCTACTACGGTGAAGTTCCAGCTGAAGTTCCAAGCACCTTTCCTGCCAGTTAAGCTCCTCCGCGGTACCGGAGTAGCCGTCGAAGCTCTTGGAAGCACCGTAACCGGGTCGGGCGTCCAATTTATCCTTTTTGTGCTGCTCGGACCGATCGGCGAAGAGACGATTTTCCGCAGTGAAGTGTCGACTGGGTGCGACTTCGGCGCGTCCCGAGAGCGACAGTGTCCTCTCGAACTGCCGTGAGGAGGGTCCTGGGTCAAAGGGCGAGCGACCTCGATTGAGATTCTGTATGTCGTGGGCCTTGTTCTCGAAGCTGGTAGGCCCAAAGTCCGTGTGCGCTGCGAAGCCGCGTTTATCGGCATATTCAACGTGGCCGCTGGACTCGGAGGTGAAGTTGTAGGGGCTGTTCTTGGACTTGGCGTCCTTGAGCTCAACGTAGCCCGCACTCTTGGCCGTCTCCGTGAAGGACTTATCCTTCTGAAATAGGAGATTGGAGACGTTCACGTACGGCGAGTCCCGGAAGTGCACAGGACTGTTGTGTGGTCTCGGTGGAGGCGTCGGGGCCTGACGCACCCTCCTCGGTAGCAATCGTGGACTCTCGGGTCCACCGGGATACAGACGCGGCGAGTCAGCCTGACCAGGATGTATCCGGCCATTCTCGGATGAGGAGCTTGCGGTAGCCCTCGGTACATCCTGTCCGCAGTCGTGCCGCGTGCCCAGACGTGGACTGCAGGGCGCAGAGTTAGAGCCGAAGTCCGAGGTGAGACGGGCGATTGGGTCCAGGATCTGGGAGAGCCGACGGGCCGGTGAGCCACGTATCTCGTCCATCCTTACTTCGACGTCGATCGTCCCACGTTGCGCGACACCTGGATGGACATCTTCACGAGCTGCTTCCTTCTTCTCGGATCACGTTAAACGTTCCGCCTTCTGACAGAGGGCGACCATGTCGCGTCACTCTCTCTCCTTAGAGGGAGACTTTGCCGGCGTCTGGCGCGTCTCTCGCTGCCCCGGATGGCTCCGACCTGAAAGCAGAGGCGCAAGAGTTTCTATCAATTTCGAGTACCACGCCTAGCACTTCGCTCCCTGTGCCTTTATTTCCGTACAGACTATATTCTATTTCGTTCCTTCGCTCCACTTCGCGAAATACAGCCAGCCTATGTATATTCCTATCATCCGTCGGCACTTCCAGACCCACGAGCCAGTCGCTACTACTTCGGAATGCGCCGTGCAATATCGACAGTCCTCGCTGTCGAGATGGGGTAAGTTTTGCCGGCGGCGGCTCGACAGTCACCGCCACAGGGTCAGCCCGGCACCAAGTGGAAGGGAAATATTAACTCACGCGAAGTGTTTGCGCTACTAAATTGAAAGCTGCAACTCTTTGGGGGGTTGTCTCCCGAAGCGGTTGTACTGAAGAGAGACAGAGAGGGGGAGAGAGAGAGAGAGAGAGAGAGAGAACTTTCAAAGGGTCACGATTGAAAGAATCACGAGTTAAAGAAAGAGATCGTATACCAAGAGAACGAAAGAGAAACGTATAGCGCGGAGGGCAGCAGGCTACTAAGTTTATTTTAAGGTCGACACTAAAAAGGGGCAAATGAAAAACCGGATGGTGACTCGAGTGGATATCATCCTGTGTTCTGCAATTACCGAGACGAGCACAGAGTTAACGGATGTACCAGAGAATAAAAATAAAAAGGAGGGGG